CGGGGGAGTCAGCGGAGCCCTCAGCGCGGGGCGGGGCAGCGGAGCCCCTGGGCGCGGGGCGCGCTCCCCATACCGGGGGCAGCCGGCGCCACGTCAGCAGCGCGGGCCCGGGCGCGCGCCCAGACAGGCGGCGCCCCGCCAGCGGGGGCGGGAGGGGCGCGTGCCCCGGCCCACCTGTTACCGCGGGCGCCATGACGTCACCCCCCCCGCGGCTCCGCGCCGGTGACGCCACACCTCGCGCCCCAATCAGGGGCGGCCGTTGGGGGTGCGGCGGGCGCTCCGCCGGCGGCGGGGCGAAGGTGCGGCGGGAGGGGGCGGTGTCCGCGAGGACGCGTCAGCCGCCGCCGCCGCCCTCGGCGCCCTCACCGCCCTCGCCGCCGCGGGGTCCCTTCCCTCCCTCCGGCCGCCCGGTCCCCGCGGGATGAGGGGATCGTAGCGCCGCGGCCGCCTCCGCCATGAAGCGGAAGAGCTGGGCCGAGGCGCGGCGCCGCGCAGCCCCGCCGCCGCCCGCGCTGAAGAGGACGCGGAGCGCGGCGTCGCGGGCGGCGGGGGCCGAAGCGGAGCGGCGGCGGCAGCTGCCCCCCGCCGGGCTGGAGACTTGCCTGAGGATCGCGGGTGAGGGGGCTTGTGCCGGGGGCGGGGGTGTCCCGATGCCGCGGTGCCCCGTCGCGTCCCGTCCCGCCGGCGGCGGGTGCCGCGCTGGCTGCGGGTGGGCAGGAAAACTTGCCGTCGGCGCGGTTCCCGGCGGGACCCCGGGGCGCTCGGCTGCCGCTGGTGTCCGGGCGGCGGGCCGGCCGGTCAGTCCCCGAGCCCGGAGCTCTGCCGTGGCACTCAGCGAAGTGTTGTTGGGAGCTGCACCACCCGTCCGGCGGGGTAGCTCATTGCCGATGTCCCGGTAGCCCGAGCCGTAGCCAGCATCGATTGCCTCGTGCTGGCGTTTTCTGCCTGCCAGAGAGAGTAAACGGAAAACAATGTCAAACACGTTTNCGGGGTGGAAAAAAAAGTAGCGTATTTCTTCATGTGTTGGGGGAATATGTACATACGCACGCACGCATATATATGTATAGATTGATAGAGATATTTGTTCCTCCCGGTGCCGTAATACCGTGCTGGCTGGCTAATGGGTAGAATAATGGGCAAACGTCGCACCTCCTCTTGACACGCAAGTGCCAGCAGCTCGTGCAGGTAGGATTGCTCAGTGTCGTCCCTCCTTTTCGTGACTCCAGGCTCCTAGCCGCGCTTTGTTCTGGCACATAAGTCTGCCTCTTTTAAGAAGCCTGTTGGATCACAGCCAGAAAATTCCGTGTTTACGGTTTGAGTTCCCTAGCTAAAAGACAGCCTTGAGTTTAGTTTGCCTACAGGCAACAACAACAACAAAAATTATTTTCTAAGTAATATGTCATAATCTCAGAATTTTAGTGTATTTGCAACTTCTCATAAAAAGGAGGAAATAAACCTCCAGGCACATCTCTGTGGAGGGCGTGGGGAATATCTGGATGGAGCAAGCAAAAATATAAAGAGCAAACATGCAGAAAGGCACCAATGTACCTTTTATTTCTGTGCCAAGAAGCATAGTTCCATATATTAACTAGTGTGTCTCCTAGATAACGGTATGTTTAGAAAACCTTAAGATTTTGTTTTGAAAATTTGGCATAGCAACGTAGAAAGAATGTAAACTGCCAGAGCTTACCAGATTCTTTTTAAAAAGCTTTAGTACTGTCAGGGAGTAAAATCCTAAATATTCCAGCAAAAATTCAGCATTTTAGGCCTAGTCTACACAGAGAAACGTAATGGTGTACTTATCTACAGAACTCTAAGGCTCCAATAACTCCATATGTGCGTTGTTTCTATAGCAGCAACTGTTTATGTAGGATACGATGATAGTATGATTTTAAGGTCAGTTGTGGAAACCCCTCATGTGACAGATGACATTTTGCTATCAAAGTGATTGCACTACCTGGATTACCATGCAACCCTGTCCAGCTCACATCTCCAGCAAACACATCTGTCTAAGCATTCTCATGAAGCAGATGCCTGGATCTGGTAATGTGTGTCTGGCATCAACAAGCCCATTAAATTACTGTATTTTTTCCTTCAAGGAATTATTCACCCATTTAAATCCAGTAGAGCACCTAGGCTTTAACCTATGTTTTTTCAGTGGGATTTCACCATTTGCAGCAGTACCTAGTATAGTAAATTTTATTAAAGTGCACTAGATTATTATATTTAACAATACATCATTTTGTCTTGATCTTGCTGTGTGCAGTGTGTACTGTTTATTATCCAATTTTTATTTCTGATTCATATTATAGTCTTAACGTTTTGTTTGCTGCTATGTTGTACTTGGTTTTTTAAAGTGAAGTCTTTAAAGAATAAGCTAACAGGCTTACCCTTTTGTTCAGCTGTTTTAAAGTTATGTCAAGGTTTGAAATATCAATTCTGCCGTCTCGTAAGGCAATGCTGAGAAGTTAATTAATAGTTGTTGACTGGAGACAAAGCATAAGGTCTTATTCTTAAAAATGGACATACTGGTAAGTATTTGAACCACTGTAAAGGCTGAGAGATCTGTGTTAGCTTACCTGCTTACAGAAACAGTGCCAAACTTATTAAGAACATTGCAGGTTACCCTTATTTTCATCTTTGCAAAAGACAGAAGCAGAACATAAACCCAAATTTCTGTAAAGATTTATGGATATTTTCTTGTATGATGTTACATTCATAAAAAACAAAGTTTTAAATCCATTCTAGGAATTTTATACCCAAAATACTTACAGTAATCATTGCATTTCTTTATTTTATAATTAATTTTATGCATCAGCCATATGTCAGAATCACTGCTAATTAGAACTGGCTAAATATTCTTGTTTACTATTAAGACTACTTCAGAAAAGCTGTCCTTTTAACAAGTTGTTTATTTTGGTGTGTTAAGCTGCCTAGTAAGCTTTATCATTTTCTCTTTGTCAACTAGTGCGTGAGGCTTGCTGGTATGAATTCAATTTGTTGGAACTGAATGCATTTCTTCTGTTTATTGGAAGCATATTCCCATATCCTTCTGATCTCTGAAAGAAGTAATTTATATGATCTAAATAAAATGTAGCAATGCTCTGTGAGATGCTTGAAAGCTGTTCATTTCCTTTCCTTGCCTACTTTTCTTTCTCATTGCTTTGATTTTATAAGAAACATTTTAAAGAAGAGGTGAAATTAAAATGCATAAACCTCAGGCAAAAGATGTCGTTTCTCTCTCACCTATTTTGAGTAGTTAATTCTAAAATGAAATAACTACAATAACTATAATAATATATGGAATTAAATTTTAAGTGATATATGTGTCAAGGGTAATTTCGTGGCATTTGATTGTTCTTCCTGCTGAATGTATTTCCAATTTGTTTACAAAATAGAACTAGCATCTTGAAGGGTGCTCTAAGCTACAGTGTACATACTTATTTTTTTTCTTCATTGAGAATCATTTTGCTTATACTGTCAGTTGGAGTTGATAATTAAATATTCATTTTAATGTATTAATTGATGTGCAAGTTGGTTATTTTGGTTTTGTATTGTGGTTTGTTGGTTCTTTTGAACCATTAAGTTGTCTTTTTCCAGGAGTCCTGGCTTGTCATTTTAACCTTTGTGTACCTAATAGAAAACTATTTTTCTAGAATGCTAAGGACACTTCTAATAAGTATCATTAAGCTTCCAATATTTTGACTGTCAGCATTTTCAATTAGTTTTTATTATGCAGCTATCTCAGTACAAAAACTGTGTTGCTCTTTTATCGATACTACTTCACCTACTTGTGAGTCTTTTCCAAAGCTAAGATTTTAAATACATGCTTAAGGCTTTTATTGTCTAATCCAGCACTGAAAGTGCGTGAACATATGCAGTCTCATGTATCAGTCAAGAGCAGCAGAGTGGAAGCACTCTGTGTAGGTGAAGTAACAGTGTTGATCAGTCATGACATGGCACTGAAAAGAATGCTTTTATAGTTTATTGTTTAAAAAAAGTTGCTTTATCTTTTTAGTGCACTTTCATTTTCTTTTTCAGAGTCCAGGCTGTTCCCATTGCCAACTCTATCATTAGCTAAATTTGAAATACCATAGTGATGATGACTGAATGAATTTTTTCAAGGATAGAAAGATAAAAATAATTTTTTTTTCTTTTTGCCTTGATATTGCAACAGAATTTGCCTTTTATGTTTTCTCTTACGTCTTTCAAATATTTTGAAGTTTTTTAACAAAATTCCATATACCAACTCTGAATTTAGAAATACACTCCTCTTAAAATAGTAAAAACTCTTTGGTTACTTTCCTGGTGATCCAAAAGAGACTAACACCGGGTTTTGTTTTACTGTCAGTTGCTGAGTTTCTCATCTAAGGCATCTATTTAACAATACAATAGAAATGTAGAATTTCTGTTTGTATTAAGCAGTGTTTGCTGATCATATGCAAACTTGTCCTGCCACTAGTGCCTGTTTAATATTTAGTTGTCATTTAAAGTCATAGAATAAATTAGGTTGGAAGAAGCCTCTAAGATCATCAAGTCCAACTGTAATTCTTGAATTAATGAAATTTCTTTCTTGAAGGCCTGTGAAGCACAACCTGAGAAGCATCAGTCTTGTTGAGAGTAAAGGAAGGAGATTATTTTTTTCATCTCTAAATTCACATTAATGTGATTTTGAAGCAGTAGCTCTCAGTTTTCTGCACATCTATTTCCACAGAACACTGTAGCTCTGATAAACAAGCAGAGTGCTTTTCCTTCTATAACACTCTACAATCAGCTTGGACAGTCATTCTTGTGCTAGCTTTAGTCTCACTAGCTGAGGTGCCAGCAGTAACACAGCTGTGCTAACCTGTGCCTCAGTTAGGGGTATGCAGGCTCATTTTGTTGTACGTTGGATGCTAACCCAAATTAATTGCCTGCAGTGACATCCGTGCTTATGTATTTTAACTGTTTTCTTATATAAGGCTGAAAAAATTAAGTGTATTTGAAGTATATCTAACATGCTGCAGCCATATCTCCTAATTGCAGAGCAGATGCAGCCTGTCGTTCTTCTGAGAGATGATTAGAAAGGTCTGGTCTACTGTGATAGTTTTAGAATGATTTTTTATCAGAAATTTGCAGAAATTGCAAAGTGCTCAAGTGCACTATATGTAAATGAAATACTAAAAAGCTAAAATTAGCAAAGGAAACATGAAGATAATGAAAGGGAAGCCTTGCTCCTGGCAGTCCAAACCTTTGTAGAATCCTAGTGAAATCAAATCATCAATGCTTGAGTGTATTTTATGTATAAACTCTCAATCCTGCAATCAGATCCTTAATGAAGGAATTCTCCTTTCTCTTAATTTCTGTTAAAAAAAAAACAACACACTAATCCTTGATTAAATAGAGCTTGGAATGTGTTTTGAAAAAAAACAGGTAAAAACAGACATGGTGAGTAATACAGCATTTGTCAGATGGTGGACTGGTAAATCAGTAGAAGGGTAAATACATTTACAGGAAATTTCTTCATTCTAAAATCTCCCCATAGGAAACATGTTAAAAAGATGGAGCCTGCTGTTTACATAATAGGGAGTAATTGTTAGCACTGCACAGGAATGGACAGTTTGTCAGGATATTGGCATTTAACATACACTGCTCTTATTGTGAGGTACTTCTGTAAACTCATTAAATTCAAGTTTCTTTCAGGTGTTTTAATAGCAGCAGTGAACACAGTTCAGAGATACCAGAGCAGAACCATTGCCAATGGCAATTCAGAAGGCCGCATACACACTGCCTGCTCAAGACAGGAATTCTTACTTTTGCTGGACATTTTTGCACACTGCAAAAGCATTTCAGTAACAGTACGAGCACTGAGGATGCAAGTGATTCTTTATTCCAAATCCTGTTTTGGAGCAAAATGCTAAATTATTTTAGGTCTTTGACCTGTGCAAATTATATTTATTTTCATTTTTGTCCTCCTTTTGTATTTGAAGATTTTGGATTGCTCTTTGCAAAGTACTTTTATATTTTCAAAAGTGATGTAAAGTTTCTGTGAAGAAGCTGAAGTGCCAAAAGGTAGTGTTTGAGTACTCAAGGTACTCAGTTTGAGTACTACTGCCATTCTTCCCAGACTTTGATGTGGTTATTGTTTGTGTACAATAAAGAGGGAGAGCTCAGTCCAGCTCTAGTCAATAATTAGACTGGCACTTAAGGACAGATGCCATGGAGGGAAACATTTTGGCTGCATATTCCTGCTGTTAACCCTCAGCAGGCTAGTTCAGTGAGCAAACTCAGAAGATTTTTCCTTCTAAGGAACCTGGTGGCAGCTAGCCATTAAATCAGTTTAGAAGTGGTGTGAAATTATAGCTTGGGGCTGCAGTGACATGTGTTGAATCTAGCAATGCCAGTTTAAACACAATCCCTAGATATCACATCCTCTCAGTTCTCCTTTCTGCTTCCTCCCTTGCCTTCAGTTGTCCTGCACATGTTAGCTCTCTGTCTCAGAGAAGAGGGAAGTCAGCAAGGCAGCTTTTTACCTTTTTTCCACTTTTCTTTTTTTCCTTTCCTTTTTTTTTTCTTACCTTCTTTTCTATTTTTTTCTTTTTTTATTGTTTTCCTTCCCCCCCCTTTTTTTTCTTTCATTTTCCTTTTTCTTTTCTTCTGTTTTTTTTAGTATTGCTTAGGGATACTTGTTACGGTTTCTAATTCATGCAAATCCACCTTGACGCAGCTCAGTGATTACACATTACTCTAAATTTTATCCTTTGGCTTGTTTTCAGGGAATGATTTGGTAAATGCTGGGAGGTACAGAAGCAGGTAATGCACTTCACATGTAGTATTTGCAGCAGCTCTGCTTACAGGATAGGACTATTAGAAATTAAACGAGCAAGTTTGGTGCCTCGCTTCTGCTAGAGAGCAAGGAAGTAAGTGCCTGACTTCCTTAGGAGGTACTATACATACCACTGTTGCTCCTGACCTGTAAATGTTTAAGCCAAACCATTCACATCAGACTGCTGTTCTACTGAATAAAGCATTAAGAAAATGTACTTTTTTTTTTCGGTGGATTTACCTACCTTCACTCTTGAGATACTAGTGTATGTAGGTGAGCACTGAGCATGTGGCTGTTAAAATACAGATATGGAAACTCCTTTCATGGCATACTTGAGTATGTATTTTCAAGATACAAGTAATGGTTTCTAAGTGCTGGTCATGGATGATGTTGTTTTGAAGCTTAAAGTGAATTTTTCCCCCCCTCGCTGTCTAAAAGCTGACATACATTTTTTCCTCATCACAGATCATGTTTTGAAATCATACATGCACGTGATCTGTTTTGATATTTAAATAATATCTGTTCTAGGGAACTAATTTCCAGGGAAAAAAAAAAAAAGAAAGTTTTTCTTTTAGGTCTGAATTTTAATCCAAATATTTTATGATGATATTTTCTCTGCAGGAGGAAGACAAGTATTGCAGTGGTGCTGCAAGCCTCAATTTTTATTGACCAATTACCGCAAGCACAGCAATTTATAGCAGGAGCACAGTCAGTGTTTAAAGTTCACTGGGGCTTCAGCTTCCCCAGTCATAAAAGTAATTTATATCTATGTGACTACCACTGGTATTTTTTCCCCCTCAGCTTAACAAAGGAAGCCAGGGCAAGTACAAGATACCTCCTGCCTGCAAGCACACAGACTTTGAAGGGGCAGCTTGAAGGGGTGGGGATGGGAATTCAGTTGGAGACGTCCAGGTGGAGGTTTGGCTGGGGCTCCCATGGCAGCATGGGCCGCCCAGTTGCCTCCCTCCCTCTTACCTGCAGGCTTTAATTGCATGGCACTACTGTTGAAATCACGGCCTTACAGGAGGAAGTGCCGGTGTTTGGTGTGTGTGTGCTTCATCATTTAGTTTAATATCGGTGCTTAGCAGTGCAGAGGGATTTTTGGTTTAGTTTTTGGGGGTAGTGTGTGTTCACTGGTATTTGGAGTGCAACCAAACCTGCCAAAGGAGATGTCTGCTGTGTGTGTGGGTGCAAGTCAGGCTCCTGCTATTTTGTGAAGTCATCAAATAAGGAACACTTTGGGAAAGAACACTAAAGAGTTGTGGATTGTGGGAATGCTGCTGAATAAAAAGCCTCAGTCTTTGTGTGCCTTGTTTGTTTAACACTGGAGAAATAATACCTAATTTAATACTTAAAAGAAGATTTTCTTCATTGTAAACCATTTAAAGTTGTCCCATTGACAAGTAATACTTCAGACTTTCAGCAGAAAAGCATGATGTTCATAAAAGCTTCCAATTTTCTTGCATTTCAGATCGCCTTTATTTTGCAATTCTCTACCAAAAACCAAAGAGTGGAGCTGCAAATACCCATTATTTCTGCATAGATGATGAACTTGTGTATGAGAAGTAAGTACTGACTTAGTTCTTTTTCCTGTTTCTATACAGAAGTAAATTAGTCAGAACAGCAGCAGCAAAGAATCAGTTTCATTGGAGAATTAATTACGAGTTTGCTCTTCTAAGACTTACATGCCATGATGATTTATAGGCCTTTGAAGGGTTTCTTGCTTTCCCATCAGAATTTCTTAAAAACATTTTCAAAAAAGAAGCTTTCATTGTGCCCATTCCTGTTAGAAGACATGAAAACGTGATGCAGCCATATAAATTCAGAAGTGCACATTGTATGTCAGACTAAAAGGGGTGTCTTTGGTTCCTCATGTATTAAGTGGAATGTCTGAACTTCCTAGAGTCACAGAAGAAAATGGCAAAGTCAATTTAGGCCTTTATGAGCTGACAGTGGATATATTATTTCCCCTGTAGTGAACAGTGTTTGTCTTTTACATGATGTGGAATGTTGCTAATTCTTCAAATAGTTTTGATCAAGGGCATGCTTGCTCTTTTTTAACGCACTAATCAGTCTTTATTCTCTGTGTTCCCTTTTCTTTAGCACTGTGAATTGCCTCCTTTTAAAGTAAAGCTTATGAATTCCTCTTAAAATAGAGTTACTAAAACTTTTGTTGCAGAGTGATACAGTAGTGAGAAATAGTTCTTAAAATCTGGGTTATTGGTTTTGAATGGTGCTGTGTGGAAAACAAAAAAAAATAGTCCATATTTAAAGATGACAAAACATTTCCTCCAACGAAACAGTATGTATTTATGTAAGAAAGCGTGCTTGTTTTTAGAATTATGTACGTATATCACATTTATATTATTACTCATTGCTTTGTGCATCTTGTTAAAAAAAAAGGCATTTGCAGGGGTCATGTACAATTTTCCCCCTTTCTTCTGACAGCTTCTATGCTGACTTTGGACCACTCAATCTGGCAATGGTCTACAGATACTGCTGCAAGCTAAATAAGAAATTAAAGGTAATGTTTGGGTTTTTTATTCAAAAGCCAGTATTACTGGCTTTTTAAAAAGCAAAAACAACCAGGCCAAAATTTCTTTTGTTGTTATTGTTCAGGTGCTTTCCTGTTTTCTTAATCCAGATGAATTCTGAGTACGAATGTTATGTTTTAGGGAGGTTACTTTAGGGAGGAGGAGGATCAGGGTGCAAAACCCACTTTAAAAAAATAGAATATGCACAACTGTGGCAGTAACTATCATTAAGGTTCTAGAAGATTAGTTGCTAAACGAATACAGCCTCTTTTATAGGAAAAGCTTCTTTCCTGGAATTCTGTCTTATTGGCAATCTGCCAATATTGAGTGAGCTCGAGGTTGTAGTGATATGTTTTTATTTGAAATAGGGTTTTTTTCCCTTGGTTTTCTGTTCCGATGCTGACATTCTTCACTAATGAGCAACATTTGATCTTTACTAGCATTGATAGCATGGGCCTCAAGGAGGCTGCTCTGCTCAAACTGCAGATTATTTTCTCTTACAGGAGCTCAGTATTTTTTGGGATTGGGCTCTTGATAGAGCGTAGTGTCTTTAAAATGCATTTATTAAATTAATTAACTAAACTGAGTACAGGCTAGTTAACCAGTAGATGTTGGGGTATAAAACAGGTTCGGCATATAAAAAAGCTTATTTTTGTTAATGTCAATCATGGTTTGCCTCTTCAAAACTGCTTAGATCTTTAAACTGCCACTGAACTGTGAAAAGTGGGAAATATACAGCACATTATAGAATAAGAGTGTATTTTCCTTTCTTTTTTTCATACCTTGATGTCTGTCACAAAGAATAGTTTGCATAATTCAGACTTGTAGAAGCAATTGGCACCCACACGTGTGATGTTGCTGTTTTGTGGTCCAGGCTGGGAGGGGGTAAACTCCCATCTGGATAACTGTGGTTTGCCAGAGATGATGTTCTCTGATTTGTGTATACAAGATGCTCTGAAGCAACAGAAGTCTATGTCGGTCCCTTTCCATGTCTTGTGATTGACATGTTAGGATTTCTGAGAACATATTTCTGCTACTGATCTGGGGCTTTTTGGTTTTGTTTTGGTTTTTTTTTTATGGTCTTGAATGCATTGAATCTGGTATCTTGAACAAATGCATTAAATGACATTTTATGATAGCTTAGTAGTTGATCAAAGTGTGCAGTCTCAAACACTTCAGAATTTATTTCAAGGGCTAGTTAGGAGATAACTGCCACCACACATGTGTATGTCCTTTCTGTTGAAAATACCACTCCACCCACATGCTAAGATAAATGGAGAAACTGTATGCCAAGCTAAGATGACACTTGAAAAAATTATTTATGATAAAGTTTAGAAATACTTTCAAAATATTTAATCTAAGCATGGTTCTGATGCTTGTGGATTTATTTACATTTGATATTGAAAAATGAATGAAAAGGTGTAAAGCCTGTTTTTAAAAATGTTTGCTATTTTAATATACATGTGATGCTTTTGAGAATACCACTTCTATTCTCATAAATGGCTATCTGTTACATAAGCTTGAAGTAAAAAATGCTAACTAAAATTACAAATGCATTTAGGAAGAAAAAATATTTCAGTAATTTGTATCAAAAATTATTTCGGTCGGATATTGGGAAAAATACTGGGAAAATCTAGGTAGGGATGCAATACAGTTTTCAAAAGCTGCTGAGGGACTACTCTACAGTATTTTTGATTCTCTGACTACAGCTGGATGAAAGGAGGTAAACAAACTCTTGCATTCCTCTGATTTTATAAAAGAAGGTATAAAAGGTCTAAAATGCAAAATCATAATCTTGTTCATTTCTTGATACAGTCATTTTCATTGATAAGGAAGAAAATAATTCATTATACTGGCTTTGATCAGAAAAAGCAAGCGAATGCTGCATTCCTCATAGGCTCCTACGCAGTAAGTATTTAACTTTTTACATCAGCTGCTGACTGTGTTCATTTTTTCATATTCAATTTTTAGAACAGCAAGATAAAAACAATTCTCTTCTCTTGAATAATCATCCTACTAATGTAATTACAGTAATGTACCACATAATAAGAGAGTTGCTAAAGTCTAGCAGGTATGTGAGTGAAGTTGTATGATTTGTTTTTTTCCCCCTCTACTGCCATTTCAGTTCTTAAGAAATGAGAGCATCACTGAAAAAAATCAGTATTAATATTTTCATTTAGAAAAAATGATTGCTTGTTGAAGTTTTGCGTTTCCCCAACCGCACAACCTCTTTTTCATTTTTATAATAGAAAAATAGTATCTTGTACAAGGTATAATGTATCATTTGCCAACTCATCTTTAAATAAACCTTTCCTTCCCCAGCTGCTTCTTCTCTAATACAAGGTAATGTTTTCAATTAATTCAGGAGAAGCAGTGAGAATGTGTGATGGGCTTAGAGCCTGTGTAAAGCCTGGGAAGATACAATGTGGCTGGAAAGGTACTAAGTTCGTGATTGCAGAGGGGAAAAGGACTGGCTTTACCTCACAACTGCATGTATTTGGTACACAAAAATATAGTCAAGGAATAAAATGCTGAATACTTCAGGATGAAAGCTGTGATGCACTATATTCATGTTCTGACTTGTAACACACCTTGGTTGTAACCATTTTTCTTGTTTACTGAGTAATGAAATGAGAAGCTGTGCACTTTTTGATGTTGGAGATTTGAGGGGTTGAAGTTCATGTAGCCTTAGGTTATTCCTATTTATTGGCTGCAAAGGCTACTTTCTGTGATGCAGGCAGTCTCTTTGCTGCCTCTCTGCATCATGCAGGATGTCCATTTTCTGTTCCCTGGGGTTTCTCTGTTGTCTATATTCTATAGCACTTTTTACAAATCGAGAACTAAATTTCAAAACATGTCACTCTTGATATTTGAAACACAAGTTCTTAGGAATGTTGCTGTAATCCTGTGCATTCTTAAACCACATGGAGACTGGAAATATGAGTTACTAAGCTTGTTTGCTGTTAAGGGATTATGTTGACAAAACAGCTGCAGCTTTTAGGAAAACTACTGCTTCCTAATTACTTGATCATAATTGAGGCCCAGAGAGCAAGACGGGACTGGCTTCAGTTATCAGCCATTATTTGAAAAAAAGTGGGCTTTGTTTTTCCTACTCTTCTTCTAAATATGTGTTGTGGTAGCATTGTATGGCACAGTAGCTGACATTCTGAGCAGAATTTTGGTGCAGAAGATTAACTAATGGTAAAACAATCTAATAAGAAAATACTGTGGTTAACTATGCAAAAGTATACAGAAAACCTAAAATAAATCTTATTTTTGATCACCTGGTAGTCCTGCCATGTTGCAGTTATAACATCCAGGTGAAAATGAATGCTTCAACAGTCTCGAATAAAGCTCTAAGATTAATGTGTATGGCTTACAACAATCCGAAGCATAGTAATTAGAAATGGAGGCTGTTGTACAGATGAGTAGGCAGTTTTTGCTTTACAGAGCTGCAGTGAAGAAAGTGGGAGTTGCAGAGTTAAGAAAGGATGCTCACAGAGATCCATGACACAAGATCATGTCTGCCTAGCCAAGGCATGTGTTAGAGCTAGTTGCAGACACATGGCATATGGCAGGAAGAGGCTAGTCAAAACCACCAGTAGTTCTCAGACTTTGGAGAAGTGCTAAGTTACTGTATGGTACACAGCGAATATTTTGGCAGTTTCCCTGAAAGGCCCAGGGGAAAGTGAAGCACACTACGAGTACCAGCCACTTCCCTGCATGTAGGCATGTCTAGCTTGCAAATTTGCAAGTCTAAGACAGTTAGCTAGCTCTAGCTAGATGCTGATTTTCTTTCCAGTGCAATACGTTTTGGCTTTGGTACTGCTTTTTTCTTCACAGTAGGGTAAAGTTTCCTCCCAGTTTCATGTAGGAAGGATTCCACAGAAGAAAGATGACTGAAGAAAAGCTGTGCCCCTGAGGCTTTTTTTTTCCCGTGGCATGCTTTGATGATTTTTCATGAAGAGGCAAGCTTAATTACAGAGCTCATTGCTCAAGTGCTCACACATACTTGTCCCATATTTCTGCCTTCTGCAGGGAGAATTGGGTCGTTCTCTGTGGAGCAAGCAATGATATGGGATCTCTTTGGAATGCCTGATAAACATGTCTATATTCGTATTTCCTGATTGAAAGGAAATATTGATGACTTCTTTATTTAAAACATATGTAGGCTTAAGTGTCTACCTTCTTTAATTCAGAATGCTTCGCTTTTTGTTGAAGAAAGAGCCATCCAGATACTATCAAATCTTTTAACGAGTTTTTCTGTCATTTTATTTAATCAGATGGTGTCATGTTGGTAATACTCTTTGTTGCTTGAGCTGATTGTCATAAATTATTTTCTGATCTTGCAGTATAAGTTGTAGGTTGATACTGTATTTTGTTTTCTGTGGATGTAATGTGTTTTCTGACTTGATTCTATTTTTTTAGCTTCATGGTAGGTTGTCATTTCAACAGTTTACCTTAGGTTGAGGAACTCTGTGGGTAAGCAGTGCACTCCCACTTTGAAGGAGTTCCAGTTCATACAAGGAAGAGCAAGGAAGTAGAAAGGGAACATGGCCTTTGCAAATTTAGTCACAAAATAAGTGCTTGTCTACTTGTGTTGAAAGGTGTTCAATAACTTAAGCATAGTTTTGGATGCTAGTTGCTCTGTAGGTGCAGATCCTACAAGTTACTTTTTAGGAATAACAGGCTGCAAAGTTTTCAAGAAGAGTGAAGCACAGTGAGTCTGTGTGGTTTCTGGTTTTGGTTTTTTTGGGGTTTTTTTTGTTTGGTTTGGTTTTTTTTGTTTGTTTTTGTTTTTAACACAGTTCTATTTAAACTATAAAACTGTAATTAACTGTATGACTAGTTCTCCTCTGGGACTTCTATGTCCTCATAAACATTCAACCTTTGAGCATGTCTTTTCAAAGGCTTGTTGACCTCAAATTTGTATTCTTAAACAGAATATTGTAACTTCTGCTTAAAGGAATAGGGATATATTACTGTGAGTTATCATTTGTCATCTTTTGTTCAAATGTGTATGTGTATTTATATCGTGTGGGCATATGCTCATTTGGACTACTAAGGCAATTATGAAAGTCTTCATTAACTGTGGTGTGGTAAGGGCAGCTGTTACTGTTCTTGTTTTCAAGCAAAGTCTGTTCTCAGTCTTTTCTTCACAGTTGTGTTTTAATGTTTCCCCCATTCCCCTTCATCTAACTTGTCTTTCTTTCCTCTTCAGTGGAGATAGTTTATGAACTCTCCAGACTACATACTTCTTTCTCCCCCCTACTGCATCTGCTGCTTCCTTCCAGGTGTACTTTGATGTGACAGCACAACCTAACTCAAGCTCTTCAGCATAACATGGCCTTAAGAGTGAACAACTAAGTTTACAAACACATTGTTGTGTATGTAGTTTTAGAAATAAAATACTAATTTTTTAGAGTAAATCTTAACAATTTATACCTTAATCCCTTTATTGTTCATCTTTCATCTATTTTAATTCTGTATTTTGTTTCTACATTTTTACAGACATAATGGGAATAATACTCTTCTATGTAGGTTAGCAAAAATTTCACACATTCAGCCGCACAGAGGGTAGCCAGAATTTAGTGTGTTGGGGTTGAATGTTTACACTTTATTTGGGTGGAGGGGGAAAAGGGAAAGAAGTGGGGGGGAAGCTTTTGTTCTTCACCTTTTAAAGAAAAATCTTTTCCTTGAAAGCTATCTGCACTGCTCAGGCCTTACCACACTACCAAAGCAGCAGTGATCTTCTGAGTTGATATCTACAGTGGCTTCTCTTGATTTTCACCAGGACTTGGCTGTGGGTGAGGAAAGTCTGCTTCTTCCATCATTTCTCCTTCTATATTACGAAAGAAAATGTACCCTCTGTGCCCTGTCCACCCAATTCCCAAGCTCCCCCCTCTCCCCTTGGCTACATTAACTTAGTAACAGTGTTTTTTTTCTCAGGCCTGGCACTAATTATGTACTTGGAGGGTGACCCTCCCAGGGTACCGCCCCATGAACTGCTGTAATTCAGGTCACCTTCTCCAGGACTCATCTCTGTACTTTGTCTATTTTCTCATCTTCTTTCTTCAGGGTAAGCAGCGTTTCCTTCGTCTGTTCTAATCCATAGTATTGGTTTTTTGCCTTTTCAATTTGTTAGTGTCCTTTCTAGTAGTGGGCCTAATGCTGGGTAGAAGCTGGAGGTTGGAGAATCAATTGGCACCCACTGGTGTGATGTTGAACTGCTCTATTCTTACTGTGACACTTGCAGAATTATCTCTAGCTAAGCCTGAGATAAACCTGTCTAGTGATCCAGGTTGGGTGGTGGTGAATGGGTAACTGTCGTAGGGCTCAGATTTAGAGTGGGTAAACCACGCTTACCCTCAGCTATGCTTTGGTGAGAGGTGCTTGACGAGCAAGTGGCAGAAAGATGGACAAAGTACTGACCTTTCATTTAAGCAGAAGTTGCCTGGAGTCTTGGCTGTCTCTGAGTTTGTGTCCTCTGAAATGCTGCCTTCTCTAAGTTGTATTTGGGAAGTTGTGATTAATCTTCACAGCGACAGATTTTTCTGCTGTTTGTACTAGGTTTTGTTCCAGGATGCTCCAACAAAACTGCTTGTCTCCATAGGAGAAGAAGGGTTGTTCTTTTTGAGGTTCCTCACTCTATAGTCTTAGGTTGCTTTCTTACCTGGCATGAAGTAGTGATGTGCCCAGTCCAGTCAGTTCAGGGTTTTTTATACTTTCCCTCTGCTATTTAAAAGGTAATTGGAGGTTTCTTGCTTTTGCTTATGATGAACAGAGTTGCCAGAGACAGGCGGTTATTCACTCTCTGTGCCTTTTATGCACTTAATGACTGTGTTTCTGCCAATAACGAAACTGTTGGCCACATGCATTTCTTCACTATAACACAAGTCCATACAGGA